CTTCGCCCCTCTTGCGCGGGCGCCAGCGCAGCGGCGCCCAGCGTCCTGGGAGCAGCAGGCGCCGGGGAGGGCCGAGAGCGCGGCCACCCAGCATCGTGTAACCGATCCTCCTCCGCCTCCCCCTCGTCTTCCCTGCCCTCCTCCCCCATTTGCCCCTCCTGCCTCATCCTCGCCCTCTCCCCCTCCGGCTCCTCCTGCTGCTGCCCATCACATCCTACCCCTCTTCATCCTCGCATCCCTCACCTCAGGATCGTGTAACCAATGCCTATCCCCACGGGCGTGGCCTGGGCCCCCTTGGCCCATTCACCACCCCTAGAGAGGGATATAGACTGCTCCCTTCGGGTCTCGAGGGGAATATCCCCCAACTGGGGTGGTGGGATGGTGGGGATCGAGATGGGGATGGGGATAGAGATCGGTTAAACGAAACCGACCCTGTCCCACCAGAGGGACTTCTCTGCTGGTGGCGCTGGCGGACGCGGGCGCGACTGCAGAGCCGGCGGGAGGCGCCGGGCAGTAGGCGCACTCCGACGGGCGGACAGGCGGAGACGGCCGCGGAGGAGACGGGGAAAGGAGGCCCTGGCCGCCGAGAGTAGGCGGGGAGGGCGCTCCACCAGAGGCACAGGAGACCGCGTAAGCATCATTTCCTGGAGGCCCGCGCGGACTTCTCGGATCGGCGCCGGAGAACCCCCCCCCCCTGGCGCGCCAGCCCGAGAAGTCCGCGCGGCCTCCGAGGAGTGCCGCGCATGCAGCGTCTGCTGTGGTTCGCTCCGCTTCCTGGCGCTGTCGCTGCGGGCGGCTCCAGCGGCAGTCTCCGCGCTGCCAGCAGAAGCGGCCAGGGCACGGGGCGCGGTAGGGCCTCCTCGGGCGGCGGCGGGCCTCGGCCTCGAGCAGGATTCCCAGCCCAGATCTCGGGAACGGCCCGAAAAGCAGAGCTGCTCCTGATCCCGGAGTTCGGATGCTCACTCTGGGGACCTTCCTGGAGACACTCGCCCCACTCGTGCGTCGAAGCCGCGGCGAACGTCGGTCGATGTGGGTCGACCCTGAGTCGAAGCTGAGTCGACCCTGAGTCGAATTTGAGTCGAACTGGGGTCGAATCAGAGTCGAACAGATCCGTGAGGTGGGCCCCAGGAAGGTCCCCAATACGAGCATCTAACGAGGTGGTCCTTGTTGCAGCGTCTTGACTGCAAGCTTGCTGCCCTGCGCTCCTCCATCCATGTTCCTTATGAACAGCTCCTCCCTGTCGCACCCCTAAACGTGTCCGTAGACCAGGTCAGGCTTTTGGCCTGATACTACTCCACGAATTATGACCCTGAAGATTGAAATTTACAACAGCTGAAAGGATAGAGGGCAGGCCGTTGTCAGAATGGATCACTCGCCTCAGCGCCACGCACATTATTATTAAATATCTGAGGCAGTTTCGAAAATGGAGGGCAAGTCTGTTTCAAAATGGACTTTTCGCCGCAGCTCCTCGAAACTTTCATTCCGAAAGCTTGCAACAGCTTCAAGGATGGAAGCTGGTCCATTTTGAAAATGTGGTTCTGGCCTCAGCGCCGAGCAACTTCATTTTCGAAGAGTGTACCAGTCTGAAGGGTTCGTAGGGCTTAAGTCCCGAAAACGGCTTTCTGGCACGATTCAGAATTCACAGGACGCAGCAATCACGCGGATTCGCTGTATTCAAGTCCCGGGAATGCTGTTCTGGCGCGATTCTGGCGCGATTCAGACCACTGATTAGCGGCTTCAAAGTCCAAGGAACTGCTACGTTGCACGATTTAGGTTTCTCAAATGATCTCGGGAATTCAGGGGACCCGAACCCAACATTTGTTGTGTTGCTCCCTTTCTAATCCTGGCGAAGCATCTCTAATGTTTAAATAAAACCTGGGGGGGGAGATGATTGATCTGTTTACTGATTCGGACCGTTGTCTTTCAACGGGGCCACGTTTTGCACCGAAAGTACAGTGTTGCGGGGACTCATAAAAAGGAAACTTGGGAGGAGGCTGTATTGCAACGTCGTTGATGCGTCTTAGGTTAACACTGGTCCTCCTCCTCCTCCTCCTCCTCCTCCTCCTCCTCCTCCCCTTCCTCGGAGGCGCGAGCTGCGTGGAGGCGCCGCCTGGCAAGCTAAGACGCCTCACCACCGCCCAGCTCGCTCGCTGGGCGACGCATGTCGAGCCCGCTGGGCGACGCATGTCTCCCCTCACGGCCATCAGCACCACGGCGCCTGGAAGTCTGCTTACGACCAGACAGCCCGCAATGCTGCTTCCGCTGCTGCCCCCTGCTGCTGGCTGCGAACGGCCAGCTCGCGGTTGCTTATTATCAGCTGCTGAAAATTGTGTATATATGTACGTATGCATGCACATACATGCATGCATACATACCTACATACATACATGCATAGATACATCAAACATACATACATACATACATACATACATACATACATACATACATACATACATGCATGCATGCATGCATACACACACACATACACACATACATACATACATACATACATACATACATACATACATGCATACATACATGCATGCATGCATACATACATACATACATACATACATACGTACATACATACATACATACATACATACATTGCATACATACATACATACATACAAACATATACACATATACATACATACGTGCATACATACATGCATGCATACATGAATAGCTATACATATATACATATACACACACATACGCATGCACATCTAAAAATACAAATACGCATATGCATACACGTATACGTACACATATACGTAGATAGATACATGTACATATACATGTAGATAGCAATATGCATATACACATACACATACATGCACATGCACCGAAACATACGCATATTCATGTACATACACCTATACATGTGTATGCATCTCCAAATACGTAGACATACACGTATACAGCGAACACACATACTTATAGCTATTCATTCACACGAGCATGTACTAATACAAATACATGTGGATACATATGCGTATAATTGTACGCCTACATACCCAGAGAGATCACAAACATAAATACATGCATACATGTATGCATACACATATACATATAGATATATGCATACATGGACTCACACATGCATACATACACATGTATATGCATGTACATACATACATGCATACATACATACAGACATGTATACATAAATGCATGCATGCATACAAGTACATGTACGTATGCATATGCATATACCTATGTACATATACAAATACATATACATATACATATACACATACATATACATATACATATACATATACATATACATATACATGTACATATACATATACATATACAGATACATGCACATATACATATACATATACATATGCATACATGCATGCATACCCCCATACACATACATATAAATGCATGCATACATATATACGGATACCTACACGTACATGAATAGAAGTGTGTATCCATACGTATAAAGATAAACATGCACCTAAACAAATACGTAGATATATGCATAGACATAGATAGGTGTGCAAGCATATCTATACACATGCGTATACAAATACACATGCATACACATGCATATAAACATATACATATACATACACAACTACAAATGATTATGCCTAAACCTATATATATATATATATATGTATATATACATATATACATACATGGGCATACGCATATCTATATATATATAGACAAACATATACATATGTGTATGCATACATACGTGCATGCATCTATACATGTGTGTACAGGTATTAATCATCATTATAATCCTCTCCCTCCTCCCTTGCCTCCTCCTCATCATCGTCATCATCGTCAATATCATAATCGTCGTCATCATTATCACCATCATCATCGTCCTACCTATCCTTCTCCTCCAAATTATCCTGCAACTCCTCTGCCTGACTCCTCCTGCCTAACGCTCACACTCTTCATCCCTCCTCCCCAGTCACTCCAGCACTTTCTTCTTCTTTTCATCCGCCCATTTGCCTGCCCCATTATCATTCCGTATTTATCACATCCCCTCCTCTATCCTGCCCCCTCCACCTCCTCCTCGTCCGCCATGTCCTCGTCCCCCCTTTATCCCTCCTCCCTCATCCTCGCCCTCCCCCCTCCGGCTCCTCCTGCTGCTCCCCATCACATCCTACCCCTCCTCAGCCTCGCATCCCTCACCTCAGGATGGTACGACCGAGTCCAAACCCCACGGGCGAGGCCTGGGCCCCATTGGCCAAGTTAACTCCATTGACGGGAATATGGGCTGTCCCCTTCGAGTTTGGAAGAGCATACCCCAACAAAGGTGGTGGGAGGGGGGGGATTTGAATCGGGATGGGGATGGGGATAGGGATCGGCCAAACAAGACTCACCTTCCTCCCAAACACTCCCGCATACGAAAGCTCCTCCAACAGCCGCTCCAGCCCGTACACCGCCGCCATAACTTGGGCAAAGTTTGCCCCGATGCGGCTGGCTACGCGCGTGCGGCTGCAAAGCCCACACGCCTAAACAGAACCATCAGCCAAGGACTTCAGAATTGCTCGTGCGTAATCCCTCTATCTTCGTTTCCTCCTCCGCTCCACCCTTTGTTTCCTCCCTCCCCATGGTCCCCACCTTGACAGATCGGTACCCATCTCGTTCGATTCATCTCTAGGGCGAAAGGCGCCACCGCATTTCGACCGCATCTTAAGATCATCCTGGCGAGGGACCCAAAGCAGGTGGAACACAGGTGAGGTGAAAAAACGCGTGAGAGGTGTGCCGAAATGGCCAGGGTGACGTCATGCGGGCGTTGCCCCAGCGGCCCTCGGTGGGGTTCCCACTTGGGCCACGAACCGTGCGAAGTCAAGCCAAGTAAGCCTCGCACCAGTCGCTGCGTGAGCACACCGAAACATTTAATAGGAGGGTCAGTGGTCAGACTAAAGTGACTCAAACGAAGAGGGGGGGGAGGAGGAGGAGGGGGAAGAGGAGGAGGAGAAGGAGAAGGAGAAGGAAGAGGAGGAGCGGGAAAAAACGGAAGAGGACCGGAGGAGGAGGGGGGAGACCAGCACCAGACAGTGCGCAAGCACAGAGCACGCAAAGAGGACGCACGACCGGTCAGTCGCGCCATGCTCTCAAAGAGGGCAGCTAAGCGGCCGCGGGCGCCCGTTACCCTCAGACGGCTATTCAGAATCATGTTGCCCCACATCTGTCGGGTGCATCCTCGATTGCGAGGCTTTGTCGGCAAACGCGATTCAATGCTTCGTTGCTGGCGGACGGAGCAGCGCACAAGGTCGTGGCCTGGTCGCCTCGCGATCTGTCCTTACAGTATCATTTCTCAATTGGCAATGGTTTCACTCAGCGGCGGCCGTTCGCTGGCCACCCTCAACACGGTGTTGTTGGACACGCGGTTAAAAGCAAAGATTTCAATGGTAAGTCCGTCGTGAACACCTGCCCTGAAACCCGTCAACGTCTCTTACGCTCCGGCTTGTCCAGGCCCGCTGCGGAAACACAATCATTAACACAATTTTGAAGCGATGCAAGCGCTGAAGATCTTCACTTTTCGGTCCCTCGACAAGGCTGCGTGCAACCAAATTGCATGCTCGGCCGCGCCAACTCTCCTATTCAACTCAAAACGCGACGGGCGTCGGACGAGATTTGAACCCCGAGATAGATCGATGTTTCCTTTTCTCCCACCGTGCCCCCAACAGGTTTCACTACGTGTGCATCTGACGCAACTCTCATAATTCCACTCTGCTTCAGCGTTTAAATTCAGACCGCACTGCATCCTGCAGACCTCCACGCAGGACATGAGCTCCTGCACGACGACTGACTTCGCAACCGTCCAAAGCGCGTCATCGGCGCACAACATGCCTCGCAAGAACTGGGCGTCTAGAGTCTCCGGCAATCGCATGTCTAGTTGGGCGCGCGCATCCTCCAGCAGCGCCGCCACGACGATGGTGACCAAGAACGGAAACAGCAAGCACCACTGGCAAATGCCGAACCTCTCTTGTCGCTCACCGGATGACGCGCCAAAGTCGAACACTTCAAAAGCGACGTCGCCATCGCCGCGGGTGGCACGGAATCGACATCATTCGCCCCATCGAGTCGGTGGACGGCCCCCTCCGCCGCGGCTCGCGCGCCCTCGAGCACCCCACAGGCCGCGAAGCTCGCGTCCGAGGCGCCGCGTTTGGATTGGAAGCGAAATCGGCGGGCCAGATCTTGTCCTAAGCACCCGCATCTTCCAACCTCTGCAACATGACCACCGCGAAGACGTCGCACCCTATCGGGGGCAAGCTGATCGGCCGGCAAGCGCCACCCACTGCTGGGTCGCCGTTTCCGCAAGTCATGCGAACCCGCGACTTGTACTTCGCGTCTGGCACCGCCGCCTGCGACCAGACCACATTGCAGAGGGGGGCGGCCCTAGAAGGGGCCGGCTGTTCATCATCAGCAGACGCTTTCCAGAGTTCGAGTGACAGGCCACCCACACCCCCCGATCGCTTGTTTATTTCAATTGAAGGGGCCCCAAGACACACAAATACATACACATTTTTTTACAGAAAAAAAAGATTGCCCATATGTTCCAATATTTGTTGTTGATTTTTTGTCTCCCCCCACCGCACTTCCCATATTTTTGCGCATTTTCCTGGGGGTCGACGATTACTTGTGTATGTGTGTTTCTTCCCCTCCTGATCAATACGCGGGTGGTTTGGCGCGCATCTTCGCCAGCGGTGACGCCGGGGTGGACTGGTGAGCCAATTAGAATCGCAGGGTATTTCGGCGGCGCTGCCGTCGGCCGCACGGCCCCTTGCACTGTCTCCGGGTGCTGCGCAAATGCCCTGCAGTAGTTGCCCACCATTTTGCCCTCGTTTGTGCGAATTCTTCCCTGGGCATGCTGACGGACTTTGAGCAATCTGCGAATCCGTGCCCGATCTCCGCCCCTGACTACATTGCCAGGCCAATTCGCCTTGTCCATGGCCACGTCAGCTCGGATTCGTCTCGCCAAGGCATCACGATCTCGCAGGGCATCCGCGCCCCGCCATGCTTCAGACCGCATCCGCACTAGTTCCAGCGCGCAACTACTGACCCAGAGCTTGCAAGCACGAGCCGGCCCCTGCGGCAAGAGAGTCGCCCCCGCACGTACGAAGCCATGAACCATTCGGAACCCCGCCACGTTCACGCCGGAGCCGTCTGGGGGCGCCTCCTCGTAGCTGCCGCCAAAACCTCGCCCAGGCATCTTGCCAAAGTATACCCGGTGGCGCTGTCAGCTAGGGCGCCGCGCCCTCGGCGGCGCGCCCGACCTTCCACGCGGCGCCCGTTAAACTCCATGCGCGCGGGAACTTGCAGCGAGAAGTGTCGCGATGATCAGGGCGCATCTGCGAGGGCACTCCCGCTTCGGGCGCTCCGCAAGCAAACCCGCCCACAACTGAAGAAGTCGATACGTGAGCGAGTCTTCCTGCTGACCGGGGCACCCGCCTTCGCGCCGACGTCGCATCGGGATGCCAGACCATCAATCGGCGCTTCCAACCAATAATTCACCACGGACATATCGAGATGCGCCAGCCTCTCCATACGCAAACTGCCCATTGGCATCGCCCCTGCCCCCTGCGCCCGGGCACGGCAAAACGCGCTCGCCCACCGTAAGAGTGTTCACCAGCCGTTCGGTCGTGAAGCCTCGACTTGACACCACAACAGATGGGTCCGCGCGCCGATTCGGGCTCGACGACCTTCGCCAGGTCGCGAAAGGAATGTCGTCGTTGATCAGAGAGCTCGCCACTGCGAGGCATATACGCCGAGAAAACCACAGCCACCCCCAAAATGCGCGTCGTTCCTGAATCAGCCCAGCAGAACCCCACCACTGACCCGCGAAACTAGGGAGCGACAGCGAAAATCAAGCCGGCTCGCTGGCTACACACTCGTCGACACCACCCGACACGATGACCAGAAAGCCAGAGCACGTCGCAAACGCTGGGGACTTGCCAAGTTTCTTGTACGCACAAATCCTGGTCTCGTCATCAAGCATGGTCCTCTCAAATTCGAACTGATTCGAATCTGCGCGTCCAACATTCTAGAGCGCAGCCGTGAACGACGAAGTTGAGGCGGATAGCCGCCCGCCCCTGCATGCGGCGAGTGCAACTTCAATCCAGTAGCCTCCTGCAGCTCCCTCGCTACTCACACCACCATCCCAGCATCCTCTGATGTGTTTGATGTTTGCCTTGTTCTGCTTGATATAGTCATGCTTGTAAATTATGTAACAGCTTCCTTCCCTCGCATGGTGTGTGAGCTCATCCGCGTAGGCGTTAGCCTCTCTATAGATATGCTTCCAGAAATCCTTTCCGTAGGTAGGGCATCGTGTATTATGCTGTTCACACATATCACACATCATGCGTTTAATCATCGCAATCCGTTTGGCGTACCCACTGTTGTCACACTCCCAGACACCCCTCAACCATTGTACAAGCGTCCTACTGTCACCACACATTTCAATAGCAATCCCCTCCATCCCAGGGTCCCATATCGTAGTTTGTTCGTGTATAAATGCACGACGTCGGGCCAGCTCATCATTTGTCGGTGTCTTCGCAAGCCCCCCCAATTCGCACCTCCATATCCTTCAGCACATACATATATTGCATGTTGGGCACCTGTGAGATGTGCCCCACAAACTCTTCCCATGCCGTCAGATCTACACAAGTATCGTACCACAGTAGGGACCTCCATTTTTCAAACGGTGCATGCCAGCTCCCTGCCACACTTCGCGGTCTGCCTCGAAGCCGTCTTCGTCCCTCCATGGCTACCGCCTGGGTCACTGCCGCCAGCACTGCATCCCTCTGCACCGTCCACTTCCCCGACACATGCAACATCACACGCAATGTCTGTTGCCATGAATTACTATATACGGTGGAAGGCACGTGACACTTACATTGGGAGAACTCAACAGCATATTCAAAGTTATACCTCACAACGTTCTCCACAAGTGTTTTGAATCCCCCTTCTTTGAACATCTCCCTGGACCTGGTGGTACTCCGACCCCTGAACTCCCCCCATGGTTCCGTCCCATTGTTGTGCAGTCCCCGCATCATATTTAAACATATCCGTTCGAAACTTCGCAATGTGTTAAGTACATGTTCACAGCCATTCCATCCCACACATCCGTGACATACAATATGTTGAATTCTGTGCTGGTGCCGTCTGAAGTTTTCCCTCATACTCACCGCCCGCGATCGATAAAACTTAATATCAGCAAAGAAACACCGCCTGCCCGCATGAATGCGGCGCCGCACTGCATGAAAACCCTTCGGGTTCGTCATAAATGTAACCCCCAATATCTCACACTCATCCTTCCTCGGTAGAATAAGAGCACCACGCAACTGATGAGGTAGGCCAGGGTCTCCAGACTGCATACATATATCATCTCCCAGTTCACATGTCAAAGATTGTGCACCCTGATACTGATTTAAACCAATCACAAGGTACTCCAAGCTCTCAATCTTCCAGTCCATGCCAGCACGTCTGAGCGCCACAGACATCATACCCACCATCCTCTTCAACTGATTTGATGAAGTTGATAGTAGCACCACATTGTCTGCCCATAAGAAGTGATTGGCCAGCGCCCGTTGTGTTCCGTCGCCTCCCAATCGAACTCCATAGTTACAAGATTCCCTTTCTTCAACAATAGATCCCCATATTGCCTCGAGCACAATGTTGAAGAGCACTGGTCCTTCTTTACCACCTGTTCGTACCGATGTGTTATACAAGATCTCCTCGCTGCTGACATATTGAAAATCAAAAACAGCTGTGTTTCCAATCATCGGCTCCACTATGGCAGCAATCAAATCAAATGGATATCTGAGATATTCCATCGCACGGATCACCATCGAAACGGTCACATGGTCAAATGCTTTCTTGATGTCCATTATACCCATATGTATAGATTCCCCCTTCCCCCAGAGGGTGGCATGACGTGTCATATGTAGTAACGGAGCCGTCGTATGATGTACTTTGTGACTTTTCTGGAAACCATATGTGGCCAATCCATACTCTGGGGTTAAACGATTCTATCTTCCACACTGCTGGCACCCCTGCATGGCGCGGGGGCCGTTCCCTTCCCGCCCCCCCTCAACGCCCACTCGGTCGCGGCCTTGCCCGACCCCTTGGACCGGGAGGCGACGCTAGGGGGCGCCAGGGGCCTGCGCCCGCGGGCCACGCCCCCCGCCCCCTTGCATATTCCACGTGGAACCTTCCAGACCTGATGCTGGCCCGAGTGGCACTGCCACCCCCAACTCAGACCTTGCCCTCCACAGTATCAGCCCAGACAGACTGAACAGCATGACCCAACTGTCTAATATGCCACTCCAAACACGAAGCTCGAAAGTATCCGTTCTGGGAGGGCGCGTCATGGATTGGCCCGCGCTTCATCCCCCACCCCCGTTAACCTGCCCTTCCGATTCGAACCTGCCGAAAACTACCCCGTTGAAGTCCCCCGTTCATCTCTCCTCCGGCCGAGGCCCTCAAAAGGGGGGGGGCGGGGGGGGGGGCGCGGGGCGCGATCGAGGATGAGGGGCGGAGCGGAGCACAGGAAAAGGGGGGGGCCAGGGAGGGGCAGCAGCACCAGGAGGAGCAGGGGGGAGGAGGAGGGAGAGGAGGAGCAAAAAAGGACAGGAGGAGGAGGACGGGGGGGAGGGGGAGGCGGGAGGAGGAGGGGGGCGGAGGAGGAGAATGAGGAGAGGGAGCACGAGGGATGGGCGGGAGGAGGAGGAGGAGGAGGAGAAGGGATGAGAAGTGCTCGTAGGGTCCCCCAAGGGCATAGCATCAGGATGATGCGCAGCCACTGGGCCCGGAACGCGTCGAGCGGTTCGGCTTCCAATCGCAGGCGAGGGCGCGGGGGGGCATTCCAAAATTGCACGCGTTGCAGATTTCCCCCTAAGGCGCGAAGATAATCGACACGGACGCTGGCCACGACTGGCTTTCTCCAGTGCGGCCTCGCGAGGAAGCCAGGATGAAGAACTGCGCCACAGCGCAGTTCTGTCGGCGAGCGCAGAAATGTTCTCTCGGGAGCGGCGCGCGAGGGGGGGAAGGAGAAAGAGGAGAAGGAAGAGGAGGAGGGGAAAGACCGGAGGAGGGATGAGGGCGGAGGAGGAGGAAAAGGATCCGCGGGGGGGCCTCACGTTTGTTCTGTGATAGCTGGGTAGCAGACCGATGGCAGACATTTCGGCGCTTTACACCTATGCTCTCGATACCACTGAGTCGATCGCTGTGACTGGGAACTCTGAGCTGCTCTAGTAAGTAAAATCAAGTCCACAAGCCGAACGCGCACCAACCAATCTGATAGAGTGCGAATAATTGTTGGGTCATAGCTCGAAAAGACCGATCACAGGCCTCCCGATGCTCCAGACCAGTGCTCTCGATGCCTCTGACCCGACTCGCGTGCACAAGAGCTCTGCGGCTGCTCTAGATCCCGAGATCAAGTCCGCAAACCGAACGTGCGCCGAAAAAGATGAAGAGCACAAACAGTTGTTCGGTCATAGCTCGGGCAGCAGACCGATCTCAGGCGTCTCGACGCTATGGGCCAATGCGCTCGATGCTGCTGGAGCGATTGCTGCGACTGGGAGCTCTGCAGCTGCTCTGAACATTGAAACGAAGTCGGCAAGCCCAACTCGTGCCCACAAATTTTGCAGGGAGCGAATCGCTTTCTGGTAAATTCTCGAATTCAGAGAGCCCCACAACGAAGGTTTTTGCGTTCGTTGTGGGGCGGGGGGCCGTCCTTGCGAGGTGGGGGGGGGGGGGGAGGGGCTCCGAAGCCCTCCCACGAGCCTCCAGGAGCCTCCAGAGGGGCCAATGAGAACCCTCACACATGGATTCCTTCTGTGTGGAGCCCCTGGGAGCAGTCACAAATATATTTCCGTTGTGAGGGGCCCTGGGAGCCTGCACAAATAGACTTCTTCTGTCGGGGGGCCTGGGAGGCTCCACACATAGATTTCTTCTTTGGGAGGGGCCAAGGAGGCTCCACATATGGATTTCTTCTTTGGGAGGGGCCTGGGAGGCTCCACACATAAATTTCTTCTTTGGGAGGGGTGGGAGGGGGTACCAAGCCCAGGGAGAAAGAGTTCCAACAAAAAAAAAGGAATTTCCAGATAAACTCAATCCCGACTGTGTTTTTACAGGGTTTGGTGCCCTCCGAGGCCCGAAAACCTTGAAAAACTCAGGTAAAATGATGAGGTGCACGAAACCTTGTAAAAAACAATGTTTCCTGGCCTCGGGGGGCACCAAACCATGTAAAAACACAATCGGGATTGAGTTTGTCTTGAAATTCTTGTTTTTTTTTGGGGGGGGGGGGGGGGAACTCTTTCTCCCTGGGCTTGGTACCCCCCTCCCACCACTCCCATCGAAGGAATCCATTTGTGGAGCCTCCCAGGCCCCTCCCAAAGAAGAAATCCATGTGTGGAGTTCTCCAGGGAGCCGCGTATAGAAGAAATTCATTTGTGGAGATTCCCAGGGCGGCCTACCCACAGAGGAAGCCCTTAAGGATCCTAGAGGTCTCCGGATCCCTCCACAGGCTCGTGGAGGTATCGTCCCCCTTCCGTCTCCCTCCACGGTCTCCCTCGTGCCAACGGCGACCGCTTGCTCGGCTTGCCCAGATGAGGAGGAACAGGAGGAAGGAGCAGGAAGGGAGGAAGAATCACGAGAAGGAGGAAGAGGGGGAGGAAGGGGAATAGGAGACACAGGAGGAGGAGAGGAGGAGAGGGAGGAAAAGAGGAGGAGGATAGGAGGAGAGGAGGCAGCACGAGGTGGTGAGGAAAGAAATCATACGAAGGGAGGAGGGGGGGAGGAGGAGGGGGAGACCACTTCTGCCTGAAACATCCGCACAACTCCGACATTGGGTATGCTTTGAACCGAGGTGGTCAGGCCACTAGTGCCTGAGATGTCAGCGAAACTCTGTGCCGAGATGCCCTGACCCACGATGGTCGGGCGAGTTTCGCATGACACATCCTCGCAACTCTCGGTTCCGAGATGCCCTGAACCCAAGTAGTCCGACCATTTTCGCCTGATACATATTCGCAACTCTCGGTTCCGAAATGTTCTGACCTCAGGTGATCAGACCACTGTCGCCTGAGACGTCCTCGCAACTCTGTGGTGATATGGCTACACTTCGTTGCGATGCGTTGCAGAAGGGCGTAGGGCCACGCTTCGTTGCGATGCGTTTCAGGGGGGTTTTGGACCACACTTCATTGCGATGCGCTGCAGAGGTGGGTAGGGCCACACTTCGTTGCGATGCGTTGCCGGGGGGGTGTAGGACCCCCTCCCCTACTCATTTCCCCCTTTTTCTTTTCTTTCCCCTCCAATTTCCATCACCCCTCCTCCGTTATCCTCTCTTCTCCCTTCATATCCTTCTAATTCCTCTGTCCTCTCTCCTTCCTCCTTCCCTCCTCCCTCCTTCCGCCCTCCGTCTTTCCCTCCTTTCTCCCCCCATGGTCCCTTTTTCGAGTGAGCCTGGCTCAAGATAGGCCAACTCGCCTTAACCAACTGCTTGGTGGTATCAGGTGTTAACCACCGCCCGGTGTTAACTTATCGTTGACGCTCTGTCGCGTTTGTCGCCATGGCGCAACAGCAGGGGACGAAGCGGACAAACTCATCGCAGGGAATAGAGAGTGCGTTCGAAGATTATGGGGTGACTTCGTTTTCAATAAGTTTTGAGAATGATGAGGTTACGACCATCCATGATGCAACGAAAGCTTTTCGCGAGAGGATTCTGAAAGCTGTATCCGAATGGGACGAGCCATTGACCAAAAAAGAGCATCAGGATGCAACGCTGGTTATCGCATTATACGTCGATCTTAACGTAGCACGAATGATTTCTTGTTGGCACGTCTGCTCGGTCTCATTTTGGGGCACGAGCTGCGTGCTCACCCGAATTAAGTGTATACTTCTAATAACGGTGGTTGGGTAAAGACGGTGCAACTAACGCCTCAACAGATCCGCCATGTCGAGCTGACTCTCAACATTGCTCGTTACGTGTGTTCTTTTCTTATATCAGAAAACGTGCCGCGTGCATTCGATGATGTGATGAACTTCTGCAAGAGTTTTAAGAAATGGAATGAATTCAAACCGGTCGAAGATTTCGACTCGAATGAGGACCACTGGGCATTGTCGCCCTTCAAGGTGCTGAAAGACATACCATGGAGGATGGCCAAGGCAGGGGGTGCCAAACAAGCTGGGGCCTTAGAGTGTTTCGCTCAATGGTTCCAGTTGCCCATGCCAGACCCCTCTCCTACTGTGTCTTTCTCCGATGCGTGCCTGGAGCATAGGGGCCGCGCAGAAGGCGACGTCCTGGCGGTCAAGCGGAAAGCAGAAACGAATGATTGTTACGTTTACATTCCCATTGGGCTCGACTATAAGGCAAACGACGACTGTCGCACCAGAATGAAGATGGCGTTGGATGCCGCGCATGCTGGAAACCCGCGGGCCCGCGGAAAAATCATGTTGAGCGGGGCCTTGAGTCTCTTTGGCCTATACGAAGTACTGCGTTGAAATTTCATCACTGGCATCGCTGCAAACTCGAAGTCGATGCTGTCTGATCTGCGAGCAAACCTCTTTCCGGAAAACCACAGCTTCATCAGCGCAACGGTCTTCAAGATTGATGAAGAATTTCGCAAACAAGCGCGTGGGTTCGCATATGCTCGATGCCTCACGGTGCAGGAGGTTGGCCATGCCATCAAGTTGAAGACTGATATCTTCAAAAAGATATATTCCGGTGAGAAACTGGCGGCACGGTACAATTATGGGAAAGAGACGTACATGTTTGATTGGAAACGCAGCGCGTTTTTCTGGGAAGTGAACAAGGAGGTGCCGCATGCAAAAGTTCAAGACTCAGAAAATGAGGAAACATGGAAGCCATCCATACGTAAAATCAATATCAGCAAGCTCCTATCTGTCTTCACATCGAATGAGGACGACGTGGACGAAGAGAAGAAAATCTTCTTGCAGGACCCAAGCCTCAGACCTTTCTTCACGTCTCCCGATGGGCGATTCACTTACTTGTTTGATCACATTCTTCCACTGGGCCGAAAGTTTGGTCTGGAAGCGGCACTGGACTTGCTCAACAATCCAAACGAAGAAGAGAGAGAGAGGACGCGAGGGTTTTCGTGCGCCCCATGGTGCGCGCCGAACACAATGATAAGATTGGCGAGCGAGGCCAGGAAGATTGGGAAAATGTACTTCTACTCGCGCACTAAAATACAGCCCACAAAAAAAAGTTTCGTGAAATCCTATCTGATTCAGAAGCTGGACGTGGTTCCCGGGAGCGCCGCGCCCACGAGCACGGACAAGAAGCCATGTCGGTTGGATAATTTCAGGAAGGCAGTGCGTGAGAACCCTATACTGTTCGAGTTCGACATGTCAAAAAGTGGTTACAACAGGCTCCAACTCGATGTGAGGCGGTTCAACGATGTAATGACTCGTTCGTCATGGGCAGCAGTACTTCGGTGGCCTCGTGCAACAGTTACCAAGCGTTTTTGTAAGTAAAAGGGAATTGGTTAACCCCGCAGTGAGGTCCACGGTGACGGAGATATTCGGTGAGAGCCAATGCGCGGGTGGAAAGCCTTATGTGGCTACGCAGATGGCCGACGATGAGGAGATGCACCATCTCTGGGAACGGGCGTACAATGTTGATGAGGTGAGGCGGCTAGCGGTCGGACGGAAATCAGATTCCGAATTGCAGATGTTGCGATCGTATCTTCGTAGATTGAGCGCTGAGGGCTGCACGGACGACCGGACCCCAGGGGCTACTCTGCTCCAGGTAACGTATGTCAAGAAGCACGGGCGGTATTTTGCAGCCGGGCCGTCGATGCAATATCTCGCGCAAAGGTGCAGGGCCGCTTTATGCATGGGAAGAGGGATAGACGTGGACATGGTCTGCAGCTGCCCGAGTATCTTAGTTATGCTTGCGGACAGGTGGGGTCTAGGGAGTCATCAGAACATCTTCCGCCACTACGCCGCAAACTCCAAAACTTGGCGATCTTTCTTCCAAGAATCTTACCATGACATGAACGAAGCTGACGCCAAGACCCTGCCGCTGAAGTGTATGTTTGGTTTCAAGCCCTGGGACGATAACCCGCTCCTGTGGAGCATCAAAGCAGAAGTATTGGAATTCTTGACGGAAGCTCTGCGACTCCCCCAGAATTCTGAGTTGGCGTCCATGTACAATGACCAGCATAATCCTCTCATGTCGAAACTCGCCCATGTTCTATTCGATCACGAGGCGAAGTACCTGGACGAATTTCTTGTCTTCCTGAAGGAAGCTGATCGAGAGCTGCACATTTCATGCACGATATTCGACGGCGCTATCATCGTGCCATCCGCCCCCGAAAAGGTCAAGGTTATCCAAAGCAGAATTGATGAGTGGGATCGTCGGATGCCCGTCAAGGTTGCTATCAAAGACTGGGGGGTACCCTGGAAGTAATTTAATATCGCTCGGCATTGATCGATTCTTCTCAGCGCTGAGACCCACAGACAGAGAGAGCTTCAGGAAGCGAGTGAGCTCCTCGACAAACGCGTGAATGGTGTCTGATCGACATGCACTCGGTTGTCGCGCGCGAGCCGTTGACCGCTCGTCCGTTGGGCCCTCGCGTTGACTGGTTGTCATTCGAAGGTCCAGTAGCCCTTTGCAAGTTTATTGCATCTGATCTGCGCGTGATGACTGATTGTCCTCGTAGGTTGCTAGAAGGAGGTCTGATCGTCTACCGTGGCAAATCATCGAATGATGACTGATCGTCCTTGATTCAGGATTCGTCCCGTACGCCTGCTTTCAAAAACAACAAAAAAAACTCGTTGGTGCTCGCGCAAGCTGGATATCGACACGGGAACGCTTCCGTCTCAAATTGCGAAGAGAGAAAGAGAATACGTAACCTTCACAGCTCCCGTTCAAAGCGCACCTCCAAACAATCATGCTTCTCGCTTGGCTAGCCATGGTAGACACATTATCCGCGCGAGTCCGTTTTCGCTTGCCCGGTGCGTAAAGTCAGTATGCGCGGTGATTGCCGCTGTTGCTCGAGCCCTTCAGATTGCGGCTTCTGATTCGAAGCCAAGTCAACGCTCCCGTTGAACAAAATACTTGAAAGAATCTGGACCGAGATGACGGAGCGTCGTGGACTCGTTACGAATCTCGAGTGGGCTACGTTAATGAGCAGACAACATGAGCCGAAAACTTTCGAACTTCGTAATCGTCGTTGCAAGTTGGCCAGGGGCACCCCGGTCGATCTCATTGCCAGTGGTACTGGGCGGCGCTATGGAGGCCGGGCTTCCTTCACTGTTTTGGGAGCTGCCCAGTTCGAAGAAAACGTCGTCTTGGCGACGCATGACGAAATCATAGCTGCCTTCGAGCACCACCGCGTACCGTTCGACAGGGTCATGCAGATGGTAAATAAATTGAAGCGGAAAATCGTGTTCGCATGGAGATTTTCTCATGCCGCGCCACTAGCCCATCCATTTGACATATTTGAAAGGAGGGGAAGCGGCGTCGCGTGGTGCATCTGGTCAGACCCAGGCGATCGAGTCGGGCCCCTTGCTCTTCTTGACGGGCAGGAATTGCCCGACAACGATGTGACAGACATCTCAGAAGTCGACGATGGCCCGGTTGACAATGACGTTCCAGACGGCGGAGCACGCGGTGGCAAATCTGACGGCGACGACGCTCGCGCAGACGACGGCCACGACATGCCGGAAGACCGCGACGAAGGTCTGGATGGCAGTGCACGATCCCAGAGTGATGACGCAATGGTCGTGCAATAGTGAAGGAGCAAGGCGCGCTATTGCATGCTGATTTCGCACGTGTGCCAAGAGATCATGATGACTGTTTGTCATCGTTTGGTGCGCGCGCTTGCGCGGGTGTTCTTGCAGCGCGATTACGCCGTCGGCTTATGACGACTACTTGTCTTTATCTGACGGCTACTGTTGAGCTCGAATGTAGAAGGCGTGCTGTGCGCGATGACTTATTGTCATTTGCCTCTGAATATATGCATTTCACCGTTAAAAAAACTCTTCTTTTATATATATATATCTTTTATATATATATATATATATATATATATAAACCAAAAAAACTCTCAGCGTGCCCTCCTTCTCCGATCAGCTCGGGCAGTGTTCGGTAAGCGGTTTCAATGAATATCACCATTTGGTGGCGCGCAGTCCAGTCCTCTCCATATTGCTGCTGTCGGGTTTTTCGCGAGTTCGATATGAATTTGCATATCGTTTTTCCCCAGCCTTCCTTATCCTCCCCACTCCCTAATCCCTCACAGTCGCGTGTAAATAATCACTCCGCCCCTTTCCTTCCATATCCATGTACCCCTCCCTCCTCGCCCCACCTATTCCCTTTCAATCCTCTTGAAGCACTTCGACTCCTCCCCCAGAAGCAGTGCGTTCTCGTGAAAATAACCGTCGCTCCCCATGATAGCCGCGCATGGCTCGACGCAGCACGCGCAGGCAGTTCCTCACTTTGAAGCACGGGCGTTGTTCTTAGATGTTGCGGCCAAAGTGTAAGAGGGGGGCACGCCCTCCAAAGCACCCTCCGCCGCCTCGGCCCCCTTCACGCTCGCGGTCGCCTCCAGCAGCGACGCCAGCCCGTTTGCGCCGCCGTTCGCGCCGCACATGGCCTGCCGGTGGCCTGTCGGTGGACTCCTCGCGCCGCACATGGCCTGCCGGTGGCCTGCCAGTGGACTCCCCGCCTGCGCCGACGCCTCCCCGGCACCCGCCGCCGCTCGCCTTGAGCTACGCCTTCGGAAAATGCGTAGCGACGCTTCTGCGTCACGGACGCGGTGGCTTGTCGGTCGACGAAGCGGGCTGGGCTCTCATTTCGGACGTTGCGCAGCACCATTGGATGGACAGGTTCAGCCCTCGCCCGACCGCGGATGATTTGATCACGCTGGCCAACATGTCTTTCACCGAATGTGGACAGCGCCGTTTCGAGGTGTTTGACTGCACGGATGGCCCTGTCCTCCGCGCGGTCCACAAGGGCGTCGTGGTCTGATTCAAGTGTAGTAGCAGTGCGCGCGGGCGTTCTCCCACAGTCTCGCGCGCCCTCCTTGCCCCCTATTCATTTTGCCGTCCACCCCTGCGTTGCTTGAGCTGAGCGCAATTCCCCTCAGTTTTTCCCAGCCACATTACCCCCTCCCGTTTGCGCTCGGCCGCTCCTCTGCCTCCTCCTGCGTTCGCTGCAACTGCGCAATGTCCCCGTAGTCCCTAGCCCTGCCTTTCTGCGGCCGTTGCCTCTTGCAGACTTGACATAAGATAGAGCACACAATCTGAGATGACCCTCCAGTGCACCTGCAATGCCATTCGCTTGTCATTGTCTGTGCTCAGTTGCTGCCCATGCTCTTGACGTTTGCCATTGCTTCTGCCCCCAGACCATCTTTGCTTGGAAGGATTTGTCCTGCTTTGTCTGCCGTGCCCAATCTCCGCAGTATCCTTTCTTCCTGCTGTCTGTGCTCGCCCGCAGAACCTGGCATTTCCATATTCGAGATGCGTGCCGCTAAACAGGCGACTCCGCGCATAGCCTGGTCGCCAACTGGCATTTGCTCGCTCTAGCGCGCGCGAGCAGTATAGGATGAGTACTTTCTGTCTACAGCTTCCGCGCATCATTCGCGCACCAAGTTCCCTCCTCCTGAATCGTCTCTCCAGCCTTGCAATGGTCTGCACATTCTGCTAACCCATCCCCCGTCCAGCGTCGTCGTATCCTCCTGCTCGCGTGGTGTCTGGATCTGCCGGTTCTTTACAGTGCGTCCGCCATGTTCTTGTGCTTGCGTATCCGCGTTTCTCTGCAGCACATCACTCTCGCGCTGGCCATTGTCTCCCCTCCCAGGCCCGCTCCGCAGTGAAGGTTTTTTGGAGCTCCGACACAGCATCCTGCCTCGCCCGATGCCTCCTCTTTTACTTCGCCTTCTTATTCAAGATGTTCATTCCACGTTACTGGCGAACTTTTCGGCCGGCAGAGAGATGCGTCGTCGTCGTCGCCCCCTCCGCAGGTTTTTTGGGGCTTTGACTTGTTTGACTTTTTCGGGCCCCCGGAACCGTCGAAAGCAAATACGGACTTGGACTCAATAAAAACATCCTCTCCCCCGCTTCTCGCTCGTGTTTTTTTGTTCCGGTGGAGATGCTTCCGAAGCGCCTTCAGGGGCCTTTTGGCAGCCCCCCCTTTGGCCTCGGAACACAAAAATTCCATTGTGTCACTGGGGACAGTTTTGCAAAAGCGGTCCGCTACCCTGCTACCCTGCTACCTCCTCGGATGACACTCAAACCCATCGGAAACAGTCGCTGATGGTTCTGAAGACCTTACCCCGACCTCATATACAAACTAACTCCTCCTCCGTCCTCCTCCCTCCCCCTCCCCTCCTCCCTCCTCCTCCCCCCCCCCCTCCTCCTCCGCGTGCTTCTCCTCTCCGACGACGACGACGACGACGACGACGGCGACGACGACGACGACGACGACGGCGGCGACGGCGACGACGACGACGACGACGACGACGGCGACGACGACGACGACGACGACGGCGACGGCGACGACGACGACGACGACGACGACGAAGACGACCAACCCCCTGGAGCGCTCATGCGGTGAGCAGGGCGCGGTGGGGGAGCAGGAGCTGAGGGATCGTGGTCGACTGGTGGCGAGGAGTTTGGGCTGACTAGTGATGGTCGTCAGTCGCTACCCCTTTCTCCCCCTCCTCCTCCTGCCCACCTTCACGCGTATTTCGGCGAGCCCCAGGACGGAAGGGCGCGGCTATGAGCACTTGACCTCATCGTGCGTGGCACCCGCGCATCCATGTCTTATTGGTCGAAGGGTCGAGTCCAGATTTTCTCTTTGCCTTTCCGGAGGCCTTCGACGAGCACCCGAGGAGATTGTCTCGGATGCCCCTGCGACTACCTCCACTGAGGGCCGCGGTGTCTTGTCTCCAGGATCGCCCGTTGCTCCGTCGCCCTGGAGCTTTCGACCTCGTCCTTGTTGCGACTGGAGCTCTTGACCCTGTCCCGGAAAGCTAATCCCATAATTTCGCCACCGCTTGCATAAATTATGGGGCGGTGTGTGGCGCCCGTGCATCCTTGTCTTATTGGTCAAAGGGTCGAGTCCTGATTTTCTCTTTGCCTCTCCGGAGGCCTTCGCCGAGCTCCCGAGGAGATTGTCTCGGAGACCCCTGCGACTACCTCCACTGAGGGCTGTGGTGTCTTGTCTCCAGGATCGCCCGTTGCTCCGTCGCCCCGGAGCTTTCGACCTCGTCCTTGTTGTGACTGGAGCTCTTGACCCTGTCCCGGAAAACTCATCCCATAATTTCGCCACCGCTTGCATAAATTATGGGGCTGTGTGTGGCACCCGTGCATCCTTGTCTTATTGGTCAAAGGGTCGAGTCCTGATTTTCTCTTTGCCTCTCCGGAGAGGCCTTCGCCGAGCTCCCGAGCAGATTGTCTCGGAGACCCCTGCGACTACCTCCACTGAGGGCTGTGGTGTCTTGTCTCCAGGATCGCCCGTTGCTTCGTCGCCCTGGAGCTCTCGACCTCTTCCTCGTTGCGGCTGGAGCTCTTGACCCTGTCCCGGAGTGCGCGACGGACGGGGGGAGTGGACCTCTGTCTGCGGCGCGACGCGGGTCCGCAGCCATCTCGGCTCAGGTGGCTCACAGGGTTTCGCACCGTAATCAGTTGTCTCAGTTTATACCGAGTGGCTAGTCGATTTGCTGACCGGCCGCTGGACTGATAACTGCGGTAATCCAGCTTATTGTTTTGCGCGTGCTTCTCACGCGATCATGCCCACGCGCGAGGGGTGCGGTTTTTCTGCGCGAGACGGAGGCGGCCTGAGAGTTCATCAAGGGAAATGTTATGGTAAATCGGCAGTGGAACTCGCAGAGAAATGTTCCAGGCGCAAGAAATATCTGGCTCGCAATCACCTTGGCCCTGCTGCCTCGAGGAAGCGGTCCGTCAGCGCGCACGCTGATAAGCCAAAATGCAAGCGACCAGCGCGCGATGGCACCGCCGACTTGTCTGATACCAGGCAGCTTGCAATTGCCAGCGTGTCGACCTCCAAGTTCCCAGTGGCCTTGTGGAGCGTGGAACGAAATGGGCTTGCAGGCGGCGTTCTCAAAATGCGCCGTTCGTGGCTTTTGGGCTTGGGCTTGCAGTGGGTCGCGCAGAGACGCGCTAATGCAGCAGCTGTTCACTTTGGTCTTCTCGTTGCCTATTCACTCTGTGCTATTCCACAACACGTGTCTGCCCCAGCCGACGAGACCATCGCCGTGGGCGTAGGGAACCGGCGCGCACTGATCCACGACGTGGAGGCGCCGCGTCGCGTATTCGAGGCGTGCTGCGGCGCGGGCCTGCTGACTGTAGAAACCGTGACGTGGCTTATTATTTCTCACACGATCTGCCGCTCGCAGGCCGCCCGCCGGCTAGTGAGCAACATCAAGCACAAACTTTTGCGCCCGACTGCAGAGAACGCCAGGGAAATGCTGAAGCTGCTTATTCGGCTTGAAGGTTCCCCAGCGGAGAGCGGGGACAAGTTCAAAAATGTAAGCAACCACCCTCGCGCCCATCTCTACTGCGGCAGCGCTGTGCTGAGCCGCCAGCTGAGGGAGCACAAGAAACTCGAGCAGGCGGCTGCTGCGGTCGTGCAGGCGTTCGAGAACCATCACACGTTTTCCCAGCTATGCGACGCAGTAGCCGAGGTGAAAATCGTGGGCTCGACGTCTCCCACTGAGTACTGGACGGTCCATTTGTGCCGATGGTTCGAACAGGGCATCTCCGGCATCCAGATGCCCGTCGAGCGACTCACTTGGGACGGGGATTCATATCGGAGGGAAATTCAAATGGGTGAGGGCGCGCAGAGCCTTGAGCTCCTCGGCGTTACCAAGGATAACGCCGGCGACACCATGCCTCAGATTGCCGATTTCATCGAAAAGCTTGCGAAAAAAATGTCAGTGGATGACTTCGACGCGCACCCGTCCACGCTGCCGAACACCGCGTGCGAAGCCGAAAGGCGAGGAGCTCTGCGCAGCCGCGTGACGTGCAACAGCGCTATTCACCACCGCCCTAGTTTGTAAAGGTTTTTTTTGACAAATGCATCGGTAATTTCAGATATATCATTGAGAATCGTAGGAGTTTACGCCGGCTTGATTTACGTCCCGTCTCTCTCTCGTCTCCGGCCAGAAAGGATGCACCCCCCTCCTCGTCGTTGCCCTCCTTCTCCTCCTCCGCTGCTCGACGACGACGACGACGACAACGACGACGACGACGACGACGACGGCGCCTCTCTCTGCCGGCCAAAGGGAGCAGCACTCGGGCCCTACGGTGGCCGCTGGAGGCGACTCCGGCACCTCCGGGACGCAGCTTCCCATCCCGGATCGATTCCTGGCGGCCCCAGAGCCCGAAAACGGCACCCAGATGCCGAAAGCAAGAAAAACGTCCGAAGATCGAAAAACCTCCGAACTTCGAGCCTCGATCCTCGAGGTTGACATCGAGCGCCTCTCGTCACGTTCAGGATGGCAATCGTAGTCGTCATCGTCGTCGTCGTCGTCGTCTCCCGAGGACTCTCTCTGTCTCTCCCTTTCTCTCCCGCACTCTCCCGGAGGAGGACGAGGAGGGAGAGGAGGAGGAGGAGGAGGAGGAGGAGGGGGAGGAGGAGGAGGAGGAGAACAACATGAGGGGGGGGAGGGGGATAGTAGTAGTAGTAGTAGTAGTAGTAAGAGTAGTAGTAGTAGTAGTAGTAGTAGTAGTAGTAGTAGTAGTAGTAGTAGTAGTAGTAGTAATAGTAGTCGTAGTAGTAGTAGTAGTAGTAGTAGTAGTAGTAGTAGTAGTAGTGATAGTAGTAGTAGTATTAGTAGTCGTAGTAGTAGTAGTAGTAGTAGTAGTAGTAGTAGTAGTAGTGGTATTAATAGTAGTGACAGTGGCTAGTGCTAGTAGTAGTAGTAGTAGTAGTACTAGTACTAGTAGTACTAGTAGTAGTAGTAGTAGTAGTAGTAGTAGTAGGTAGTAGGTAGTAGGTAGTACGTAGTAGTGGTAGTAGTAGTAGTAGTAGTAGTAGTAGTAGTAGTAGTCGTAGTAGTAGTAGTAGTCGTAGTAGTAGCAGTCGTAGTAGTAGTAGTAGTAGTATTCACTTGCGGCACGCTCATCAGCGTTGTGGCTCAATCTACACACCGTTCAGGCCAACTGATCATAACCAACTGCTTGTTGGTATCAGCGGTAACGTACGACTGTTGCGACCCCAAGTGCCACTCCATATCGCAACCTCATCCTTACAGATTTGGCTCGGCATGAAATTCATAACCAGGACGCCGCGCCCGTGGATCTCCACCATCATATTGATAAACACGTAACATCATTGAAACTCGGTGGGGCAATTGGGCCGCACTATGGGTTTAGCGGCTTCGACGATACAGGATCTGGCTATCGTAAATACACAGAGGTAACGACAGACAACGCTGCTTTAGTATATTGGGGTTCACCCCACTGGTCAGATGTTGACGATACGGCCACCCGCCACTTCAAGAATTCTCAGGATTTCAAACAAAATGCGTTCGAGAGTTTATCGTGGATTTCGCAAAACAGTTTTACCGCAATGACATTTGAAAAGGGGTACAAGGTGGAATTCTGGCATCCGCGTTTTCGGAAGACTGATCAGGGACGTTTCACAGAAGTTCGAGATCTCGTGGTGACAGAGGGCTACTTCAGGTACTACAGGCCTTGCGGTTCAGGATCGGCACTCAGATTTTTACATTCAACCGATAGCGCCACGATGGTGGCGATGCTCGTTCCAGCGCGCTTCAGGAAATGTGTGAAATATAAAACCGGTGGTAAGTTGGACTTAGGTGCAACTTTGCTCTCGGTAAAGCAGGAGATGCGCCCAGACGACAAAGCAGTGAAGGTCGGAGGGCAAACATTCAATCTGAGGTAGCAACGAATTCATCACTCCAAAGATGGCTCCTCGCTATCATGTGTTTTGCCTCCTACAGAGTATAGTGTCTTCTTGTCACCTATCGTTCGACGCCGTTTCAGTATCCCATATAGCGCTCAGTAGTGGTGTCTTATCGTCACCCACCGTTCGCCAACGGTGTCTGCTTGTCATCGGCGATAGACTGGCACAGCACTGCAGAACATAGAGCAGCGCGTCACAGCATCACATAGAAAATGTTTACCCAATCGTCAACCGATCGTCCCAGACATTCGATGCGCATGACCCCATCCGTTTCCGTGCGTCCCTTTCTTCGCGCGCACTAGATACAGGCGAACTGCCGCGCGTGCGGCACATTGGCATGGTACTGCGCGTACTGGCGCACTGAACCAAGTCGCAAGCAGCGCGTGCGTGCATCTGTATGTCCGCAGGATTGTCTCAAGCATTCCTGTCTTCAGTCTAGGGTGGGTGGGCTTGCATAGTCCCGAGCAATGGCTGCCCGCGTCGAGACGATCCAAGATCTTCTTGACAGCCTACCGGCAAACCCGCCGGCACTCTGCAAGACAACGTGGTGCGCCTTCGGCGACGCGCTGGCACATGACATCGGCCTCGACCAGATCTTCAACCGTTGTCCGCCCCTCCGCCGCGAGATAAAGCGGCGGGGGGGCATTGCCAAGATGTGGCGGGAGATGCATCCGAACGCGGCGGCCGAGCTGGATGCACGCATCGCTCAGCAGGCCGGCGGTCCACGGGTCGCTCAACAAGCAGTTGCTCCCGATGCGTGGTGGCGCCCGCACCAGCAGCGCTTCTGGCCGATGATGACGCCGTCCGGTTACGTCCAGCCGCACTTTCAGCATGCCCAATCGCACTCCCAGCCGCACCTTCAGCATGCCCAGTGGCACTCCCAGCCGCACTTCCAGCATGCCCAGTCGCGTTTCTAGCCGGACTTGCAGCATGGCCAGTGGGACT